GTCTTCCAAGATACGCCGTCTTCAAGACTTAACCAAACTATGCAAATACTAGTGTCTACGACTAGGAATAATCTAAATATTAAGGTACAAAAATACTTAACGGTGCGTAAACCGTATTTAGATTTACAAAAATACATAACGACACGTAGTCCGTATTTTCTATCCTAATCGGGTCCCACTAGTTGCCATTTCATAAAACCTGTGAGAGAGAATATATATTTCATTCATCCATTCACTATTTGTGAATGGCCCATGCAATTTACAATATCAAACAAGTAAAATGCATTTAAACAACGCGCGCACTAGTAACTAATCTAGGTGGTTAATCCGATTAACACGCCTAATTAAAACTTGTCAAAGTTGTTTAACCGATTATGTAATTGACGTCATTAATAATTGAAGCTCCCACTAAATTCCGCATTTCCCTTGATTAATCCAATTAATTAAGTCGATAGCACCCAAACTTGTCAAAATAACATTTTGCCAATGCCGCTCAAAACGGAGGCCTAGCCTCCCAAAATATTAATTAATTAAAATAAATAAAACGGCAAAATAAGCAATATTAAGCCAACTACATTTCAAGTGGCTTTCGCTTTAAGCGTTTTGTCAAGGAAACTCGAATAATCGCGGCTCATGCAAACCAAGCATACTACGGCTATTCACCTCACCGCACCAAGCATATGCACACACAAAAAACTCCGCACACACGGCCCGCGGCAAGCAGCCATGGGCTGCACGCACGCGCACGCACAGCCATGGCTACTAGTGCGTGGCTGTTGCGGCCGTGTGCTGCATCCGCGCGTGTGGCCGCACGCAAGGCGGGGCAGCCACCTTGGCAGTCACGTGCGGGTTGCTATGCAGCCCGGCTAGCCAAGGGTGGTTCTTTGCCTCGTTTTGCTTGCCATGGCCTCGGGATTTGATCCCATTTCGCGAGACATAATTAATTAATTCTAAATTTATTTTAGAACTAACTTAATGAGCAAAAAATAAAAATTTTAAACAAGTCTAATTTAATAAAATTTAAAAGTGCAAATAACCAAAATAATTCCAAGAAACATTCTTAATTAAATTGGTTTAGTTTGGTGCAATAACAAAGTTGAGGCAAATTCTCACTTTTAATTTAATCAATTTAAATTAAACTTGAGTATTTGACAAAGTAAGGGGAAGTTGGAAAAATATGAACTTTAATGTTCAAATGAAAATTCCAACATCTAAATTTTGTGAATCCTTGAAAATTATATCTTCCAACATGAAGATAACCAAATTTCTATCACAAAAATTGAAACTTTATGTTTCCAATCAACTCTAAATGATTAAAACAACAAAGTTTAACACAAAATAACATGGAATTTAGTGGTTTTTAAAGTTTCAATTACTTATCACAAATAAAGATTGAATCTTTAACACTTAGGAAGCCTCAAAACAAAAATTTTCACACTAAAAAGCAATTAGTGCAATTATGTGAAAATAAATCAACCTTTAAGCATCAAATACTACCTAGTAAGTGTTCTTTAAGGGAACTTAAAAATGCAGAAAATAATGCAAATAATCAACCACATAATGAACAAGTTATGCCATTAATTTCAAGGTTAGAAAAGACTTAAAAATTTTCGTCAAAAATGAAAAATCCCTCGAAAAAGGCATTTCTGGTCAGAATTTGGCTAAAATCACAGAACCAAAGGGAGGAAAACCTTTCCAGAACACCTTTTCCACCCAAAATTCACTATTTTTGGGCGAAATCTGGGATCTGGGCCAAATTCGACATTAAAACGGGATTAAAATAAATAAAACCAAGCTACTAATCTAATTAGCAACTTAAACTAGAAAAATAAGCCAAAATAAACCTTGAAAAACATCATTATAAAAATAAATGAGCGGGGCTCCGATACCGCTGTAGGGGTTTGGTGAGTCCGACTCACCGCAGAAACAACCCCGACCTTAGGAACCACTCATAATTAATAAAATCATAAAGCATAAATAAATAAACACAAGAAAAGGAAGAAAGAATCATACCCTTGAAGCGAGCTTCGCCCTTTCAAAGAATCATACCCTTGAAGCGAGCTTCGCCCTCTCAAAATGTCGTGCCTCCAACAGTATCCACCAACAAAGGACGAACACGACTTTTTAGGTCCGCTACCTTGGAGTTAGCAAGGTTTGACCAAAACCCAAGTGTTAATGGAGTTTAAGAGTTTTTCCAAAATATGGAATGCTCGTTCTAACTCCCACTCAAGCACTTTACTCCAAATCCCAAGGTTGGTATTTATAGAGGAAAGTATGAGTGGGAATATCTATCCCATCAATGTGGGATTCATGAAATTCCACAAATTAATTTAAAGCTAAATTAAATTACATATATAAGCAAGTAATAAATCAACAAGTGTCCTAGTCATATGTAAAGAGGAGTATGGACCACTTGGAGAGGAGGGGACCATACTTGCTCCCCACTCCTTCCTCTCCTTGTGACACTTGTCCACACCAAAAAACAAGCATACTTACTAGCTTCCCCAGTTAGCCTCGCACCATGCGGGCTGCTAGCTGCTACCAGCGCGGCCTAGCACGCCCACGCACATCAGTGCGGGCTGCTAATGCTGAGGGCGCTGCTAGCTAGCCACGCACATGTGCGGGCTGCTAGCAGCAGCGCACCCCAGCATGCCACGCACTGCTTGCGGGCTGCTGGCCGTGCTGTGCTAGCCTGCCTCGCACATGGTGCGGGCTGCTAGCCACGCCTTGCTAGCATGTCTCGCACATGGTGCTGGCTGCTAGCTCGACTAATCCCCTAGCACCTGGGATTCCGATGCTAGGGGTATTTTTGTCATTGTTAATTTATTACTAATTTGTCGTCTCGTCTTTTTATTATTTTTGACTCGACTTCCGACGCTCGGTTTCGACGCTCTAAGCTCGAATTTCCGACGTCGAAATATTTAACACTCAGGCGACGAATTAATTTCTTCCGAATTAATTAGACGAGTCGGTTGGTATATTTTGCTTGGGTGTGACCCGAAGTGTTCAGTCAAGATTAAGCTGTAATATTAATTATATTAATATTACTGATCGGAAGCGGCCTCCACCCAGGCATTCCGATCACTTGACCATACTGAATATATTAGCTTTCTAATAATTCTGAACCCGCTATCAGAATAATACACTTGTTCGAAGGACACCATTCCTTTTTCGCCACCCTCCTGAAGCTTCACTATGAAACGACCCTCAACGCTTTGACCAGCAAGGAAGCTCGACAAACGGAGGATATCGTAAAAATAAGGAAAGCCCTTGATAGGGAAGAGATGGTGAGGCAGACGACCGAACAACAGCGGGACGAGGCGATCCTAAATTGCGTCTCATTGGAAGGAGGGCGTCGAAGCCTCTGAGAAACTGATGGGCCAATTATCCTCGTCCCAAACGGCCCTCATGTCCGCCCAAGACGAGGCGGCCTCCATTAAGCTCCAGGTAGATGAGCTAAACAAGTCCGTTGCTGACTTGTCTGAGAAGTTCAAGGCCCCTCAGTTGCCTAGTGCAATGGAAATCGTCCACATTGAGCACAAGTCCGAGGAGAGACTGAAGAATCATTTCTTTGAGGCCTTCCAACTGATGAGCGAGAAAGGAACGACTAACTACCATCAAGAGCTCTTTACCAAGCGTCTGGAGTTTGTCTGCCTCAAAGAGGAAGTTGAGAAGGTCAACGAACCGCCTCTAGAACTTGAAGATACCTCGTCCAACTCTGAAGAAAAGGGGGACGATGATGATGATGAGGTGGAGGAGGATGACGCCGAACCAACTAAGGAGGGGAAGGCGGCCAATGGGGAGCCAACAGACGCTTCAGCAAAGCCCTCCAATAAAGGGGAGGCGGCCGAGGAGAAGCCTGCTGATGATGTGGCCGAGAAGGATTCGGCTTTGGAGGAGCCTGCTAATGACGATAAGCTGGCTGAGTAAAGAGATCAGGTCCTCCAACACCAAATTTTTAAGCTTCTTGTACTTAGATTTTTTTTTTCTTTCATTTTTTATGTCAAATAATTTCTGAACAGTTTTTATTTAATTTAATTTTGTCGCCTTGGAGGAGCCTATTTGAGCAGTTTTGTAAGATATTTTGCCGCCCTCTGAGCGATTTTTATTTCATTTGATTTTGGCGCCTTAAGAGCGGTTTTTATGAATTTCCATACTTAGCAAATTTTACACACTTTATTACGCTTTTTATTGCTTTTGTACAAACACTGGGGGTATGCCCCTTTATTCGGCGTTCGCCTAGTCCATATTCTTGGTGATTTTGATTAACTTTGTAATTTTTATACCTAGAAGGATATGACGACTACTAAGTTAATCAAATCATAGTAATACTTGTCCTTGGGCTAGGTGAATCGCCGAATCAACATTGGTATACGGCCGCTTAACCGACTTTGTTTGAGTTGTCCTTTGATACTATCACTCGGATTCAACTCAAGAAATTTTAAGTAATATCTCAACTTGGATATTTCTTATTATTAGCTGGGCTTGTACGCCTAGGCTAGCCTTTGACCCTATTTAAGCAACTTTTGTGGCTTCCTATTTTTTAGTTGTCCGATTATGTTGAGGTCGAACAGGTTGGTTGACTTTTAAGTTATTGTGGCCAAGTGGTATAGCTAAGGGATGTCGTGGCTATACTTCTACTCGGCCGCATTGTAACACTTTTGTGAGGGCCAAGCTGCTATGTTGGAAACAACATCATTATTACTTTGTCTGGCAATTCTGCTTAAGTACTCATAAATAAATGATAGGAATTTAAATAGAAATGTTTGAGTCTTCATTAATTATGTCAAAATTACATTGTTAAGGGTCGTACGACTTTAATTACAAGGCATGGTCATCTAGACCTAGTTGCATATGCAACTTTTTTGCTAAGTAATAAAGTTAAACATAATACTTTCTTAAATTGTTCGTATTCCAAGTACGAGGAATAGGACGGCATCTAAGGCTCCAAGGAGTTATGTACCTTCCCTTACTTCTTCTTTGATTTGGTATGGCCCTTCCTAGTTAGGGGTTAACATTCCATCTTCATTAGCTCGCCCAACCGCTTCTATTTTTCTCAAAACAAGATCCCCCATCTTTAGCAGACGCTTAGACACCTTGCGGTTGTATGCCCTCATCATTTTAAGATGGTAGATTTCATGTTTAAGTGCCGCATTGCCCTTGGCTTCTGGAAGAAAGTCCAGGGCCGTCTTCATAGCCTTCCTATGGGCCAACTCATCATATAGAATTACCCAAAAGGTAGGTTTGTACATCTCAATTGGGAGTACGGGTTCAGCGCCGTAGACTAGAAAGAATGGGGTCTCTCCTGTTGAACTCTTAGTTGTGGTTCGAATAGACCATAACACATTCACCAACTCGTCTTCCCAAAGGTAACCTGCTTTCTCAAGCTTGCGCCTGATGCCTTTGGAGATCATCTTGTTGTAAGCCTCAACTTGGCCATTAGCTTGCGAACGTCCGACCGAGGCAAAACAACGAGTGATGCCCTAGTCACTTAGCCAATTTTTTAGTTAGGGCATTTCGAATTGGGGTTCATTATTATCGAACACCATCGACTATGGCGCACCATAACGAGTGATTATATGTTTCCAGATTAAAGCCGGACACATCCGTCCCCTTGATCCCTCGAACGGCCTCCCACCCATTTGGTGAAGTAGTCTACTACTACTAACACATACCGCCTCTGCCCGGACGCAGGAGTATACTGCCCTAACATGTCCATGCCCCATTATGCAAAGGGGAGTGGAATGCTTATGGACAGTAAAGGTGGCAAACCTCTGCACTTCATTTTTTCACCATTTTCATGGCGTCTGAATTCATGTTCGGCTTGTAATACCCCAAATGGGTAACCTTTTCTGCTAAGGCTCGTCCGCCTATATGGGATCCACATTGCCCTTGGTGGAGGTCGTCCAATACATCATGCCCTCTCTCTAGGGTGATACACTTCGAGTACGGCTTATAAAATGCTTTTTTGAGTAGCTCCTCATTCTTCATTTCGAACTAGGCCGCTTTCCTTTTCATCAGCCAGCTGTCCTTGGGATCGTCCAAGAGTGTTCTATCCCTCAAACAGGAGATCACCCCGTCTGTCCAAGTGGAGCTTTTGTCTATGATCTGTACGGGTTTAACATCAATACTCTTCTTTTCTTTTACTTACCAAAATACCGATCTGGGAGTATCACATGATTCCGTGGATGATAACTTGGAGAGTGCATCCGCTTGATGATTTTCTTAACGAGGAAATTGTTGTAGGGTGAAATGTTCTAGATCGTCGGCCTCATCTTTCACCATCTGAAGATATTTCATCATGACCGGCTCCCTGGCCTTATAGTCACTATTAACCTGGCTGACTATTAGTTGGGAGTCCGAACTAGCATCATTTTTTGTTGCCTCGGCCACCTAACACATTCAAAGGCCAGCCAAAAGGGAATCATACTCAGCCTTATTATTAGAGACTTGAAACTGAAATCTCATTGTATATTTAAACTTATCTCCCTCAAGAGACTAAAAATGATACCAGCACAACATCTGGTTGTTGTAGTACTTCCATCCACAAAAACCTTCCAGATCTAATCCCCTACCGGCTGTAAATCATCAAAGGCCTATGATGCGTGCCATTTATGGCACTCTTAGGCAAGGTTTTCTTCATATTTTTATGGTCGTTTTTAGTCGTTTATGTCGTGTTTTTAGGGAATAATGCTTGACTTGTGTGTTTACGTGTAAGTTTAGAGAAAGGCGTGCTTTTAATGGTTTGCTTATTATTTTATTCATTTCTCGGCTATTTCTCTCGCTTCTCCGTTTATTTAACTTGTTTTGTAGGTGTGTTGAGTTTCCTTGATTTAACCATCAAGGAGGAAGCTCAAGCGCATTCAAAGAATTCAACGGAGCGAAGTTTGAGAAGCTAAGTATGCAACTCAAGCAACCAAGCGCGCTCCGCAAGCACCAAGAAGCTGCCCCAAAGCAGCAGCCAACGCACAGCAGCCCATCCAGCAGCCGTGGGCTGGCCGCGAGCGTGAGGTGGCTGGCCGCGGGCGCAGGTCTCTTGGTCGCGGACGCGGGTGGCTGCAACCCAAAACTGCCACTTTCGAGCAGTAAGTAGTCGCGAGCTGGCCGAGGGTGCGGGCTTGGGGGTGTTCTCCTCCACGGGCGCGACATAGTTCTCTACAGGCACGACTTTTTACTTTAACTTGCGATTTCATTTCTTTTCTCCGTTTTTTTTTATATATTGTATGGTTTTCTTTAGTCTTCATTTATGTAATTCTTTAGTTTAGAATAGTTTCTCTCTCCTCAAAGGAGGATTAGGTTAGTTTAGGAGTCTCTCTATCTATATTAGGAGTAGTTTTAGAGGGAGAAAAGTGAGGGATTTCAATGGAGATTGAGAGATTGATGATACAATGGTGATAATTGTGTTGAAGATCTTCTCTATTATCAATGAGCATTCCTAACTCTATCTCACCTTATTACTTTGTTTAATTTCATGTTTGTTTGATTTGATTTTGATGTTTGATTCTTGATTAGTGTAATTGCTCTTGATACATTGTTGATTCTTGATTTCCATAGTCGATAGTTGATAGATGATGATTCTTGAGTAGTTGTTTGTCTAGAAATTGGGTGAAACTTGTATGATTGATTAATTGTGATTAATTTTGGAATTGTGTTGATTGATTGTTGAGATTAAAGTTATTAATGAAGGTTTGCATGTGTGTAATTCGATTAGGCCTTGAGAATTATGCTAGATTGCAATGTAATTGCTAATTACATGACCAATTGATTTAGGAATTGCAATAATTTATTGGTTTTGATTGTGATTCTCTTTGTTTGTCATCATAGTGAATCCTAGCTTAACATTTAGGAGACAGCTCTTTGATTCCAATTGATTTCTCTTATCATTAGTCTTCACAATCTTTGATTGGCATACTCTTCTCAAGTTGTTGCAATTGACATGATTTCGTTTTTATCCCCGTTCCTACTGTTTAATTTCCTTGGTTACTTGTTTTGTTAGTTTTTTGTATTCTCTCTTTATCTTTATTAGCAATCGAAAGCATTTGAACATTACCGTTCCTTCGGGTTCGACCCTTGACTTACCTCTATACTTGAATTTAGGTTTTTTAAGTGTATATAAATTTAGTTTAACTGAGGGAGGATTAGATAACGGCCTAGTTTTTCCCTCATCAAAATGGCACCGTTGCAGTGGAACGGTGTTTATGTTTGAGTGTTTTTGATTGCTTGAGTCTAGGTCTTTGTATATACTTTACTTTTATTTGATTTTTGTTTGTTTTGTGAAAACAAATTTGGCATGTCTATTATTTCCTCAATATGACAATGAACATTTTTGTGAATATTTCAATAGACTTGATGAATTTTTAGACTCTAATTGTTGTAGTCTTTGGGAGGCTTGTGATATTTGCTATTTTGGTTTGAAAGAGCAAACTATGGATGAAGTTGAAAGCATGCATAATGGTGAATTTAGATTTTTGTCAATAGATGATGCTTGGAATTTCTATGTTTGGTTTGCTCGGGATGTTTATAATAGGGGTAATCATGATTCTAATATTGATGCGCAATGTCTTGATTCTTCTAATGTTAGCATGACTTCCCATGATTTGTTACATAATCCTTTAAGTGAACCTAGAACACATGATTTCAACTCTATTTCCCCTTTTGTTCATGATGATGAGGTGCATGCTCAAGTTGATGCTAATGGTGTTTCAATATTCTTCATTATTTACCATGCCTTCTTGTGATGTGCTTCGTTCCCTTAATGATGAATCTCATGTGTTTGATTGTGCCCCCAGTCCCCATTGTGATGTATATGCTCATGATCTTAATGTTGATTCTTCCAATCTTGATTGTACTTCTTCTTCTCTTGTTGAGCCTTAACCTTTTACATGTTTTGAATCTCTTTTTAATATATTTGAGTCTCAAATTAGGCGCATTAAGCTTGATAACGACCTTGGGCCTAGTAAGAAGATGATTTTTCAATCTATGAGAGGTCAATTAGAGATAATGAAAAATAATTAGGACATCTTGAGGAGGGAAAGAGAAAAAACGAAGAGTTAGAAAGCCAATTGTCATCTATCCTTGACGCTTATTTGTGAAAATTCCCAATTTAATGTGTGTGTTGAGGATGATGGTGATGATTTTGAGCAACCAAGAGAGTGTGAGGATCCCATTGGTGAGCATTTGAGTGATGGTGAAGGAGTTGAGAATGAAGAGGGTGTTGATTTTGATAACCTCAACCCTACTTCCCATCTTAATGAGTCTCTTATGCATGATTGTAATTCTTCTATCCATGAGTATTTGGACTCGATTGAGGTTATGACCAATGTGTTCTCTGAGTGTCAAATGAAAACCCATAGCCTTTTGAGTGAGTTCCTTAAGACTGCTTCATGGGAAAGAGATGAGTTTGAAATGAATTTGCATCCATTCATGCATAGTTTTGAGACTTTGGGCTTTAATAAAGATGTTGGGGGAGTTGTTGTTCATAGTTGTAGTGAAGGGGATTATGTAGTTCCTCTTGGAAAATGGATGTTTGAGGGAGATGATGATCATGAGTTTTATTCTTTTGAGGATTCTATGATTTATTTTCATTCTCTTACTGGTGATTTGAGGCATGGTGGTGAGGAAGAGTTCATTTGTGAGACCATAGCCCCTATTCCCTCCTCTCATGTCCCTTTTTCATGCAATATCAACCACATCCCCTACAATCCTATATCCCTCCCTTCCTTTGTTGATGAGCCTATTGGAGACCCCCTTGTCTATGATGATCTTAACGTCCCTCATTCCTTTATTTTTCAGGAAAAGGGTGATGTTTGCCACCCTAAAATATTTTAGTGAGGAGGATTTGCCTTTTTCTTTTTCTTTCCATTCTTTTATTTCCCCTTCTTCTTTTTCTTATTTTCTTCTTTTTCCTTTTGATCCCTGTTTTTCTTTCTTTTGGCATCTCCCTTCACAAGTTGTTGCAATTGACATACTCTTCTCAAGTTGTTGCAGTTGACATACTCTTCTCAAGTTGTTGCAATTAACAATAATTAGTCTTCACAACTTTTGATTGGCATACTCTTATCAAGTTTTTGCAATTGACATGATTACTTGTTGATCCCCGTTCCTAGTGTTTTATTTCCTTGGTTACTTGTTTTATTAGTTGTTAGTATTCTCTCTTTATCTTTAGCTTCGACCTAGCTTAGGCACCTAAATCGAAAGCATTTGAACATTACTGTTCCTTTGGGTTCGACCCTTGACTTGCCTCTATACTCATATTTAAGTTTGTTAAGTGTTTATAAATTTAGTTTGATCGATGGAGGATTAGATAAAGACCTAGTTTTCCCCTCGTGAGCCTGCCCCTTGTTTGCCTTTGTTGAAGCTTAAAGGTTTTGATGACGAGTAACTTAAACTAAAGCAAACTCATCTAACAAAGGTT